CAAAGTTTTGGTTAACTTTGGCGGTGGTGAAGTTGCCTGCGACGAAACTCCGGCGAGCTTCCCGACGAGTTTTTCGGCGTGTCTCTCCCTTTCCTCACCTTCCCCGTGATATCTCCTTGCGCCTCCAGGTGTGTTTCTCTATTTTTACTGTCTAATTTTGGAGGATTGATATTTCGGGTTTAGGTGAGGGAATTTGGGGATTGGGTTTTTGCTTGATTGAATTGGGTAGGCCTACGGTCTTGCATGCTGGCGCATCCACTTCTGCGACCGGCCCATCTGCTGCCGCCCCCACATCCTACATTGCTGAGCAGCTAGCAGCCATCTCTCGCCAAAACGAGCAGATCCTTGTTGGCCAGGATCACATCAACGCCCGACTCGACTGTGAGCGCGAAGGTTGCCGCCGCATCATTTCGGCCTAGCATTACATGATGCACTACTGGGACATGGACCCTGCTGCTGTTAGCTACCCATGGGAGGCTTCCCCGGGGCATGAGGATCTCTACCCGCCTCCAGCCGGCGATGGTGGCGACGAGAACTTTGCTGGATCTGCCTGCTGAACCATCAAGTTGGGCTCTGCATTTGTCTTTCTTTCCAGACTAAGACTCCATTTTGTGTTTCCTTTTCTCTTGTCCTGTTTATTTGGATTGTAGACTTGGAACTATGGTTTCTTTCACCCAATGTGTGTGTGTTTTGATGACTCTAGCTTTGTGCTAGTTGGACTGGTCCTTGTTCAGTCCCCTGCTCTTGACTGGTCCGCCCTCCAGTCACCGTTCCTGACCACTATTTCACTGTAACATCGTTCCCCTTCCCCTGCTCCATTGAGGGCGATGTCAAACTTAAGTTTGGGGGGGGGGGGGTGCTTTGTATTTATTGGAACGTATATATGTGTGCTTGGAGCCTAGTCCGCTGTCTAAATCTTGAGATTTGAGGGCTCCAAGTACTTCTGTTTGCTTGACCGTATTGACACTGTGGGTTTAATTGGTGAATCGAATGACTTTCAAACTAATGCATGACAATTGGATTGTGACTAGGACAACCTATAATGATGACTGAGACATGCATTAGAGTTTTGTAGGGGTTCAGTGTTTCAACTGTTTGCTTACCAACTGTGACTTGGATTGATCACTTGTTCTTGATAGTCTTTTATGCATCTAGTTCAGGGAATCAGAATGAGAGATAGAGCATATAGGTAGCCATGTGAGATTTGATCCTGCTCATTTCTTTCTTGTGCGATAGATCTCTCTTCCATGATGTGTAGCATTCACGTTGTCATTGGCTAAGATGATGGAGGCATAGGAATAGCCCATGGCCAAATTGACTGTCCTGGTGTGTCATACCCCCTAGTCAGTCCCTTTGAGCCGTGTAATTTTCTTTCTTTCGGTCTACAATGAAAAATCACCCGTTTGCATCTCTTAGAAGGTTCCACAGAGTGGTCTTTGCATGTTCTCTACTGTTTCTGCCAGAAATAATGTGAGGGTTGGAGGTAGTTCTTAAAAGTTAGGCATGTGTTTGAAAAATATACAGAGGTGGTGGTTCTCTCAAGAAATGAAAAAAAAAAAGAATGAAACCAAAAGAGAGCCACTTCCAAAAATCTGAATCATGCTCATTAAGTAGTGTTTCTTAGCAGTCTGGCTTAGAAATACTAACATTATTGTGACCTCCTTCGCTCTTGTGCTCTAAAGAATTTGAGTAATGCAGAATGGCAGAAAGAAAGTAAGTGGTTTGATTGGCTGTGAATGTGTTGGGTTTGGAACTGTGGAACCTTGTGCTATGAATACTTCCACCACCTAAAAAGCTTTTTCCCCATGTCCAAGACCCTAGCCAGTCATTTGAACCTGCGTCTAAGACCTCCGGATTAGTTAGTGATGACACCCAATATGTGAACTCTAACATTTAGAGGTTGTCATCATGGTGAAGAGACGTTAGGGATTGAGAGAATAAGTATGCGCATTTTTCGCATCAAATTGTCCTTACCCCACTGGTCGAGAGTGAGCGATTCATTTTCTTGTTCTTTACACTCTTTACCGCGGTAAGAACCTAGATGGCTCGGTCTGGATTCTGATGTCTTGAGTTTTATGCATGAGGTGACTATCTTGAATAAGTGGTTGAGTCAAGTCTAGGTTGGTTGGTGAACCGAAGAGAGACTCCTCCTTTACCCAATTTTGCTGCACTCGAATGTCCTCTGTGGTGGTTGTCCCGGTTGCTGTTGAAGTTGAAGTTGTCCAGGTGTTGATATCTAAAAGCCAGTATGATTCTCGTGTTTCGTGCCTATATTATATGTCTCCAAAGTTTGCATGATTGAAATGTGTTGAGCTTACCTTGTATCTGACTTGGTTTGCTTGGGGACAAGCAAACGGTTAAGTGCGGGGGAATTTGATAGCATCGTATTTGCACATGTTTGCACTCTTGTTTCATGACCATTTTAGCTCGAATTTGTGGTTCCTTGGCCTATTTTACGCTAGGGTGTGTTGTTTTGTCGTATCTCAGGTCCTAGCGCATAAAGGGATGCATAGGTGCAAGTTTCGGGTCATTTGGAGGCCAGTTGGCGATTCAAGATTCAAATTACGGGCATCCCCTGCACAATTACGGGCGTAATTGCCTCTGCCCAGACCGTAAATGTAATGCCGAACCAAATCCCTGAGAATGTCTTTCGAAGAGCAAAATAAGGGCAAGAGCAGATTGAATTACGGTCGTAATTACATGAATACTGGCAGTAATTGGATAATGACGACCGTAATTCCCCTCATCAGTGTTAAGTGAAACGCGCGTTTTGGGTGAAATACGGGCAGGCCATGTTTACGACCGTAATTCAGTCCGTATATCGCCCATAATCGGGTTTTTGAGGCAGATTGAAGCCAAAGGTGAGGGGATCGAGTTTTTGAGCGAAAACAGAGCTTTAGAGAGAGAAAGTGCGAAGAACAAACCCTAGGAGCTATTTGGAGTGGGTTTCTCACCATTGAAGCCCAGATTGCATCCCCAGGAGTGAAGATCGACATTCCAGAGCAGATTATCCCCATCTTTATGAGTATGACTGCTCTGATTTCTGTTTTCCTCTCTCTCTATGGAGTAGAACCCTCTCTCACTTGGGTAGGAAGAACCCTAGTTCCATGTGTTAGGAATCTTGATTGTAATGACTTTGGATTGATATACTGATTGATTTTAATCAATTGATGCCTGATTCTTTGAGTCAATTGAAGTCTGGTTATCTTTTCTTGATTTCTGCTGCAACCTGAGATAGATAGACTCTGATTAGGTTGTTAGAGCTTCCTCAATCGGTTGTGGTAGATTGGTTATACGAGAGTTAATCGATTTACTGCTTTGTACTGGAATCAAATTCTAGTAGTGGAGTTCTGTGTTTATTGTCTCAGCAGTCTATCCCGGTGAATGCTAGTCGCCTGCCGGTTAGTCTGCCTGAGAGGGCTTGGTCAGCTTAAGAGATTCCAAGCTATTGTCGGATCTTCCGCAGTTTAATCAACAGTTAATCAACCCAGGGTAATTACAACCTTGACCTAACTAAGGACCTAGGGGGACTCATCCCCGAGTGACTCTTCCCTGTTTAAGAACCTCGAACCATTTCCTGCTTTCTTACTGCTTTTGCTTAAAATCACACTCACTCGACTTAGTTTGCTAGATAATAGATAATCACGGAGTAGGCAGTAGATCTGGACCCCGGGTTGACAAATAGAGCTTGCCACTTTACTTGAGGCGGGTAGGGTATTGTTTCTTAAACATTGCTATTTTCATAAACCGCCAGTGAGGTAATGGGCGTTAACTAATTCAATATCAGATTCGGGTCAGTCAGCACCAGGCCTGACCCTATTTAAAAGGTGGATTAGCCCTTCCGCCTCCTCGCTATACCCCGCATTGCCATCTCGTTGTCCCTTTTCTCCCCCACTCCTCTTTTCTTTCTCGGAGATCTAATCTAGGGCAAGGGCTGGTTCATCCTCTCTAGAGTCGAGATCCTCCTCGGCTGCTGGTTTCTCAGTAAGTCGCATCTCTCTTTTCCCCCCTCTATCGACACTTCTCATAGCTAGCTAGATCTGTATTCAGGTTATATGTTATCTCCGATCCATTTTTCCTTTTTGTATTTATACAACTGATAAGGAATAGTCTTCGCCGTATTCATTTCGTAGCGACATTAGATCTAATGCGTTGTTATTGTTCTTTGCTCGCACTGGCTTCTTATTCTTTCCGTCAATTTTTGAGTCCTTTTATCAATCTAGATTGCGTTTGATGTGTTCATGGGCTGAAGGATGTTATCTCGATCATGGTTTTATTGGCAACCGAATAATTTTGATGCCTCCTTCATCGTTATGTTAATCTCGCTAGGTCATCCGTAAAAGAATAGTCTTGCTAGGTTACTGGGGGAAATAGGAGGATGGGAGCGATGATGTATGTAATGGCTTCAGTGACGATTAGGGATTTCTGGTCTCGTTTCTCATTACGAGTTGCTATGCAACATTTCACATGTATTATCGTTGATTAGCCAGCATGGAGTGCTCATTGTTGATTCATTTTCTATTTTCTATGATTAGAAGAGCTGCTAAATTTTTTACGTAGCTTATGATTTTTTAGGGTATTAATATCTCGCTAATTTGTTATTTACTTTGTGTAGAAGAACAAGATGGGTCTGTCATTCACGAAGCTCTTCAGCCGGCTTTTTGCCAAGAAAGAGATGAGGAGTAGTCTGGATTTGCTGCCTCCATTTTATTACTGCTAATTCACATAATTTTCTTCTTTTGTGCTTATTGACGGTCTTGTGCTAATAAGAAAATAATTCATTAGCACACAACATTATTATAAGCTAAATTCACTGGAGCCATCTTGTCTCTTAAGCTTTTTCTCCATCATATGGAGTCTCCTACTTGCATATTCCTGTGTCATGGCTGTTATGTATGCCTTTCCATGTCCCTAATTGAAATATGATTACAAAACATATTACTATACCATTGTATAGGAATCTGGCTGCTATAGTAGGTTGTGCTGACTTCTATAATTGTATGTGGTTTGTAAATGAAGTGTGTTCCTGTTGTCAACAGATTCGACCCTTGTGGAGACACTACTTCCAGAACACCCAGGGACTGATCTTTGTGGTTGATAGCAATGATCGTGATCGTGTTGCGGAGGCTAGGGATGAACTCCATCGCATGTTGAACGAGGTATAGTCACGTATATCTCTCTGAGCATGACTTTCAAAAGTGATGATGACGCTTGTTCTTTCATCTCTAATCTCCCCATTTCTCCCCTCAATATGCAGGATGAGTTGAGGGATGTAGTCCTCCTTGTTTTTGCAAACAAGCAGGATCTTCCTAATGCTTGAATGCTGCTGAGATCACTGATAAGCTTGGCCTTCATTCCCTTCGTCAGCGCCACTGGTATACAATTTTTGGTTCACTTATAGTTGTTTCTCGCAAGTTTGTCTATAGCCCATCTCTGCTACCTCTCGTAAAGAGCTTTACGGGTCATTCAGTTAGCTCATTGCTAGTGGATATATTGTTTTTCTCCCTCAGGTACATCCAGAGCACTTGTGCTACATCTGGTGAAGGGCTTTACGAGGGGCTGGATTGGCTGTCCAATAACATTGCGAACAAGGTATTATACTACACTCTCAATTGATGTTCGAATTCTCGTCAACTGTCTGTAGCGCGCTACAGTGTCATTGACACGCCAAAACACAACACCAAACTGCGACCAAGTGTAATCGCAGTCCGGGAATGCAGTAACATGCAAGTTCTATTATCAACCCGGGGTCTAGATCTACTGCTTACTCCGTGATGATTTATTATCTAGCAAACTAATTCGAGTGATTGTTGTTTAAAGCAAAAGCAGTAAGAAAGCAGTAAATGGTTCGGTTTTCAAAAGCAAGAAAGAGTCACTCGGGAATGAGTCCCCCTAGCCCCTTAGTTAGGTTCAATTGTAATTCCCCTGGGTTGATTCACTGTTGATTAGACTGCGGAAGATCCGACAGTAGCTTGGAATCTCTTAAGCTGACCAAGCCCTCTCAGTCTAACTACCCGGCAGACGACTAATCTTCACCGGGATAGAAAGCTGAAGCAATAAGAACAGAACTCCACTACTGGAATTGAATTCCAGTACAAAGTAGCAAAATGGCTAACTCTCGTAAACCAATCTCCTACTATCGAATGAAGAGGCTCTAACAACCTAATCAGATTCTATCTATCTCAGGTTGCAGCAGAAATCGAGAAAAGCTGATCAAACTTCAAACAATTCAATAAACATGCATCATTCGATTAAAATCAAACAGTATAATCATCCCAAGTCATTACAGTCAAATCCCTAACACCCGGAACTAGGGTTCCTCATACCCAAGTGAGAGAAGGGTTCTACTCCATAGAAAGAGAGAAGAAAACAGTAATCGGATTAGTCATACTCATAATGATGAGGAAAATCTGCTCCGGGATGATGATTTCCACTCCTATGACGATCTCCAAGCTCGATTTGACGAAACCCAGCTCCAAGATAGCTTCTAGGATGTGTTTTTCGTACTTTCTCTCTCTAGGGCTCTGTTTTTGCTCTGAAAATCCGATCCTCTCACTTTTGGCTCGCAATTGGCTGAAAAACCAGAATTTCCCGACTCACACGGACAGGCCACACGGCCGTGTGGCTCACCCAGTTGCCCGTGTGAGTCAAAACGCGTCGTATCACTTAGGTCGATCTTCAGCCATCCCACACGGCCAGGGTTGCACGGCCGTGTGGATTTCCTGGGATGCCCGTGTTTGGCCTCGGCAAAAATCACACGGCCAGGGTTGAAAGTTGCACGGCCGTGTGATACCCAGGGCTGCCCGTGTGGCTTCCTTAGAACCTCGCCATGCGTCCGATCTTCGTCCAATCGACCCCAAACTCGCTCCCAAGCCTCCATTCACGTACTAGGACCTGAAATATCACAAACAAGCACAACCTAGCGTGAAATCGGCCTAAAACACGAGAATCAACACCTCAAATGGTGTAAGAACAGGGGTAAAAACATGTGTAAATAACGGTCTATCAAACTCCCCCACACTTAACCGTTTGCTTGTCCCCAAGCAAACCAAGTCAGACACCAGGTAAGCTTACATATTGCAATCAACCAACATTGGAGACAATTCATAAAGGCACAAAACACAAGAATCGTACTTGTTTTCAAACATCAATACATGAACAACCTCAATAGTAACCTGGACAACCACCACAAAGGACATTCGAGTGCAGCCAATCGAGTAAAGGAAGAGTCTCCCTTCTGTTCACCAACCAACCTAGACTTGAATCAACCACTCACTCAAAACAGTCAACTCATGCATCCAACTCAAGACATCAGAACAGAGACCGAGCAATCTAGGTCCTCACCGGGGTACAGGAGTATAAAGAATATGAAAATGAATCACTCACTCTATTTGATGCGAAAAATGCGCATGCTATTTCTCTCAATCCCTATCATCTCTTCACCATGATGGCAGCCTCTAAATGCTAGAGTTCACCTATGGAGTGTCACCACTAACTAATCCGGAGGTCTTAGACACAGGTTCAAATGACTGGCTAGGGTCTTGGACATGGGGAAAAGACCTTTTAGGTGGTGGAAGTATTCATAACACAAGGTTCCACATTTCCAAACCCACACAATCACAGTCAAACAAACCGGTATTTCCTTCCTTGCTATTCAAGTCACAGTTGGTAAGCAAACAGTCGAAAGAACTGAACCCCTACACAATTCTACTGCACATCTCAGTCCTCATCATAGGTTGTCCTAGTCAAAATCAAGCGGTCATGCATCAATCCGAAAACCATTCAATTCATCAATCAAAACACAGTGCCAATATGATCAAACAGCAGTACTTGGAGCCCTCAAATCGTACTAGGCTCCAAGCACATAAATATATATTCCAACCGATATAAAGCACCCCCCACACTTAAGCACGACATTGCCCTCAATGGAGTAGAGGGAGAGATAAGGGGAACGATGTTACCGGATTGAAATACTGCTGGGGGACTGGAAGTGGACCAGTCAGCGAGAGACAAACGGGAAGAGGGACAGTTCTGCACGAATCGAACACCAAGAACACACTAGCACACTGTGCGTTAGGGATAAGTGTTAGCCCAGACGGCTACAACAGAAACAAACCACAAAAGAAAAAGAAAAAGAAAAACAACTGACACGAAGTTCAAGCTCCTCACACATGGAGCAACAAAAGAAAAGTCTAAAACGAAAAACAAAACACACTGAGATGGGCAACGAGTACAGCCTACTCGTCGCCAAGATCATCCAAGTCGATGTCGGCCATGAAGGCGTCATCACCAGCAGCGCCATCAGCACCATCATCACCATCCGCTGGGGGAAGTGGAAGTGGAGAGTCCTCCCAGGGAGTCCTCCAGACGGGCTGCTCGCCCAAGAGCATCTAGAGCAGGTGCTGCTGGACCTCCTGCATGCGCCGTGAACGGCGCTTCTCCCGCTCGATGTGTGCAAGAGTCACCCCCTGCTGGGTCTGGAGTATGTCAAGGCGCTCATCATAAGCAGCCATCCTGTTCTGGTACTGGGCCAGGTGTTCCGCGTACTGCTGCTGGAACTGCATCTGCTGGTCGAGGATCTGCTGGTTCTGGATCCGCAGCTGCTGGAACTGGTAGGAGAAGTAATCCTGGCCCGGGAAAGCGGAGCTGCCACCGCCGTACTCGAAGGTGGTGAGGCGGGGGTCAGTAGCAGCATCCACCTCCTCGGGCTCCACATCATCAGCAGCCTCCTCCTCCTGGCCCTCTGGCTGGACCTCTGGCTGGGTCTCCGCGGGGATCTGAGGTTCTGAAAACCCCTCGACCCATAGAACGCCGCGGTTCTCTCGCAGCAGGTGCATGTGACTGATCGTCTTCCTGCCGAAGACGAGGGTGTCCCCCTGCTGTGTGCAACCCTGCAGCGAAAGCCCGAAGTAGGTGGCCAGGCGGGTGATGAGAGGGGCGCAGTGGAGGCTCTTCAGTTCCGTGGCAGTCTTCTCAAAGGTCCTGGCCACCACCGATCCCAAGTGGAGAGGGTGGTCGTACTGGCGCATCGAAGCGATGAAGTACATGGCCCTCTTGGTGATGGCGCTGGCACTATCGGACGCTGGAGTGTAAGACTTTGCCAGCAGGTGGTGGAGAAGGCGGTTGTCGAGCAGCAGGGTAGTGGCATTCGTCCTCCCAGCCGAGAAGGGTTTCCTCTGGCCTGGCTTAGCCAGGCGGGTGTACAGCCTCGTGAAGTCCACCTCCGGCGGGTCGTTGACCTCGGTGATGTAGTCCGCACCGTCATCCATGTCGAGGTCGAGAGCCTCGGCCAGCTCATGGTAGCTCATCGACCGGGGGGCACCGCCTAGCCTGAATCTGACGGCTGTACCGTCTTTCCAATCGGTTGTCTGTGTGTGCCTGAAGGTCGTGTAGAACTTCAGGACGGGCTCGTAGTAGACCTTCTCGCAGATGGTGAGCAGACGGTGCCATGTGCGGTTGGCGAGGGCGGCGGAGAGTTGCTCTTAGCAGTTCAATTTCCGAAACTCCCGTTTGGACCAGCAATGGTGCTGCCCAAACGGGCATGCCAGGACCTCCTTGAAGCGATCCTCGTCGGGGCCCCTCCTAGATCCCGGATGAACGGGTGCTTGAGGTTCGGTTTTGACATTGTCCTGCAAAAGAACAACCCAAAGTGGAACCAAAAGAGCCAAAGAAAAGGTCAATCACACCCCCACACTTAAGAACAGAAAACAGCCTAACCATGGTTTCATCCATAGTTCGGGGGTCAAAAACTCGATAAATCAAGCATAATCCGAGTGGGGTGCACATTCACGAGAAAGTAGGCAACTTAAGGTTCACATCCATAGCAAATACACCCTCAGACTACATCATTAAGGGCCCCAACCGGTGGCCACAACATGGCATGAAAAACAGGCATTTCATCGAACACCTTGTGTGCACTATTCAGTTAAGCATGAAATTGGCAAAATTCTTGCACACAAGGGCTCAAACAATCAAGGGGGACATTGCCCAACACAATTCAAACACACTCCATGCATTCCCCTCAATCAATTGCACAAAAAGCACAAGATTCAATAAGGTTCTCTAAACATACACCCTACACACCCAATTCTCCACAATTAACATAGTTAAGGGCAAAATCAAACCTGGAGACGCAAGTAGAGGTGTAGGGGATGATGAGGGGAAGGCGATGGAGGCGACGAAACGCCGAAAAAGTGGCCGGAAGTGCTCGTCGGAGTCTCGCCGGAAATCGCCTCCGGCGACAAAAACGTCGGGCAAATCTCCTCAAAATGGAGGGATAGGCCGCGGTTGACGTGGGAAGGATGGGTTTATGGTTGGTTTGGTGAAAAAATGACAAAAAATGGCCGGAGAAATCAAAATAGGGCGAGTTGTCGCGGTTTTCCGGCCAGATTCAGAGGATTCCGGCGAGGGTTGGGTGAGATTCTGGCCACTCGGCCGTGCTGGCCGAATTTATAGGCCGTGCTTGGCCGCACGGGCAGGCCCGCACGGCCGTGCAAGCTGCATTTTTGCCCGTGTTGGCCGACACGGCCAGGCCGATGAATTCCACACGACCGTGCGAATTGCACATTTGGCCGTGTGGAATTTGCCGAGAGCTCGCACGGCCTGAGGAAAAAATCCACACGGCCGTGCGAGAATTGGTGTTGC